AACCTCCATAATGCTTATATGACCAATTAAAGAACTATACATTTTAATTTGGTTTTAGAGTCTTAACGTGAGTATTATTTTTCGCGTTTATTATGAGACGCACTGTAGATGGATTGTATTTATTCAAGATAATTTGAAAACAGAAATCGAACGTTTACTGATCACCGTCTTGTCCTCGGTTCTACGAACTCATTCTTTGCGCGGCCTGATCTTCCTGGGCACAGCATGGGTCTTCGCTCATTTGCAGCGTTTCTTACGCATAACAAATAATCCAGATGACAAGAAAGTACTTTGCGAACAGGTTCGAATTCTCAACTACGCTGAAGTCCATGGTCTCACTCACGTGACGAAGATACTCTTTCCTAATTGTTTGTTCTTTACAGAAGTTCTTCGTGTATGTTATGTGTGCCAGGTAATGAATTCTAACTGGTGATAACGTTTTTGTTGCAATACCTTCATAAGCGGTGCTCACTTGCGTTATCACATTTTGGTATTCCGACATCTTAGGCCTCAGCATACGTCTTCTGGCCTGCGAATCATCACATTTACGCATCGCTCGTTCGGTGTATCGAAGATGTTGACGACCAACTGTGTGATCCAACTGCCTTAGTCCAAGACTTCTTACACATCAAACTTGGTCCTTTCTTCGTTATTCGTCAGCTATCGGCCAGCCCAAATCTGAGCAGTCGACTTTGCAAACTGCTAACCAAAGCGGCCTATTTCAGATTCTGATAGATCCAATCACGACTGACTACCTACTTATAGCATAATGAAACTCAAGTCCGAACATCTTGACGTTTCCTGTCAAATATATCATCCGCAGGGGACCAAGAAGCCCACTCGAAGCTTTACTAGACGTTGTGACAAAATGAAAGTAAGGTGCATACTTCAAAGTACTTCTCCACCCAGTCTACCCATTGGTCGAGGCAGCACTCTGACTCTCAGTGCCTGTGGATATCTTTTGATTGGATCTCCGGTTTCCATTTTTTCTCTCGCTGGTCTGGCATGCTCCACCACCACTGCCAACCCCGGGCTCCACCCATTACCCACGTCAGTGAGCCTTACCGCCGAAGTTCGGAATCCTAACCGCTTTTGTGTGTATTCTTGCAGGTCGTCATCATCATCATCGTCAGCTGTAATAACCGCGTACTCGTCGTACAGTGGTTGTAGCTGCCGCAGTTTCGTTCACCGATGATTTGGGGGGGAGGGGTAGGTAGCAGGTGGACAAAGCCAGTATGAGGACGTCTCATGGTACGCGTTCAGAACTGCGACAACTGGGCATATGATACGGCTGGAGGCTGACAAGCTTGAGGTCACCCGTCTGGAGTTCGAACCCAGGTTATCGAGTTAATAGTCTACAGTATTCTCCACTCGGTTACTCGGGCTGATGTGACACTTACAGGGTATCGGTTCTGCTTTCTAGCTTCGTTATGCACGACACATGAACTCCTCAAAATTACCTTCTTTGGTTTATTTCTATTCGAGCCGATTCCGATACACAGAGTAGGAGTGAACGAACAATTACGGTCGACTAGAATCGACCGCTGTGAAGTGACAGTTCCACGCACCCTTCTTTCAGCATGAGGATGTATGACTCGTTCAGGCTATCTGTCGAATATCGAACGTCTCAACCATCAGCGATCTCATCCCTGTGGGGACTCGTTGGGCGGACGCAAATGATTCGATTGCAGGTACCTTTAGTCAACAGCTTCAGGCCACGCGCTCAACGACCCTTTCGAGTTGCATGAGAACTTGAGTTTTTAATGATTCAAGTTACCATCACGAACACTGTTCGCCGTAAAAAGCTATCTATGGGTTCATTCGGCCATTTGTTTTAAATGGTCTTCTGATGCCTTATCACTCTACTCAGTGTGTACTTGCAAAATGAGAACTCTGAAATACATCACAGCAGTCTATCTATCGAATTTCGTGATGACCACCTGTATCGTGGGTGGCCGTCTATTGGTTACGCCTGTACTGAGCCTGCCAGACTACGCGATAGGGAGAAGACAGAGAACTGGGGACACGGCTGTATTGCCAGGACAAAACATACA